CAAATAACAGAAGTAGAATACTGCAAAAATACATAATCAGTGCAATGCAATACCTCGGCTCCAGACGTCCCGCCCCCTCCTCAGACGCTCCGCTGCTCCTCTCCCAAATTGTAGCTGACCGCAGACAGTGCCGCAGACAGGAGGCCGGCTTGTTTTGTTTTTATGACTGAAATTACGGAAAACAACTTGTGAAGTTTGACCCGCTAGAAGAGCGAGGTGCGCCTTTTTCCACCTGGATCTCAGCTCTTTTTGGCCCTCATGTCCCTCCGTCGTCGGACTAAACTCGCCCCCACCTTCTCACCGCCTCGGCCGTATCTAGACCCACAGCGTGTAGCACAGACCACGCTTCAATATTGAGCATAAATCAAAAATGTCTGTGTCAAGCTAGTATAACCAGGAAGCGAGGTAGGAGAGCAAAATAGGTTTAGCGCCACCGCAGGACGGGAGGGAGAATTACACCCAGGAGCAAATGGATAAAAATAGACCGGAGGGGAAAAAAACATGAATCGATTCTCTTGCGGACGTATCGATGCATCGGATCGTCGGCTGTTGGATCGACGCATCGTTACAAAACGATTATTATTTACACCCCTAATGATAAGGGTTTTTTGAGGCTCTGTCAACATTTTGCCAAGTCCTATCCCAACTCAATTTGAAAGAAGCAGTCGGCAATTCCTCATCCCACATTTGCATTCCTGCTGAAAATATTTCGTTATGATTTAAAAGTCTCTTATATAAATATGACAGTATCCTTTTGGGCGCTTATTGTAATATTTTGGAGATTAGGTGTTCATTTAATTCTGATCCCCATGGTGCCCCATAGACTTTACATGCAGATATTATCCTGTAATAAAAGAATGAGTGTTGATCAATATTAAATTGAACAATTCTTGGAAGCTCAGTACAGACTCATATTTAGTCAGATTGTTGTCAATCTGGGTAGTAGAACTGGGCAGGCATGAACTTATTTCTGACTAGATTATTGGGAGCTGATTGGTCACAAATTATTTGACCAGGAATCGAATCTTAACTGAAGTAGAGAAGCAATGTCAGCTTTCTGCACAGTTTTTCCCCAATGTCCAAAGGATAGGGAAATATATAATGTAGAATATTGGTTATCATCCATAACAGCTGTATTATTATCAGATACAAATATTAGCTCAGGTTTTCAAATCAGTGTATCAGTATTTGAAATCAGGTTTTGGTTCATATTCTAAGTCATTGAGGTCCTCTTGATACCAGGATTACTAATCTGATGAACCTTAACTAAACCCAGAAGAGCTAATTCCTTTTAAAATCCCCTAAATCTTAGTCTCAGTATAGCCGTTGTGTACGGAGGACCTCTTCAGTATTTCTCTGTAACTGAGTAACTGAGGATAAGATGTTAACGTTGCTCCTGTCAGGTCCGTGGTTCATTGGGGAGCTGATAGATGGACACAGCGGCGCCTGCTTCGCCTTCGGTGTGTTAATCGATGGCCATTTCCTGGAAGGAAGTCTCACTTATGTTGTGGGAGTCATTCAAGTAAGGCTATTGATTTTATTGACCACTTCTCTATCTCTCTTGTGTTTATGTGAAGACTCCGTAGGAAGTGTTTTTTTTTTATATATGTGCTACAATCGGAATGTTTACAGCAATACCCTTAGCTTGCTGTTTTGTTGTTTTTTAGCATCAAAACCTTACCTTGTAGCTTCTTTTGGAGGTATATCCCAACATGAGACCACCATTAAAACAAACTTGTGTTTTAGATTGTTTAAAGTGTGAATGCTTATCCTGTGTGATTAGACGATAACTACTTAGTGTAATCTCATTATCTTTCTATCAGCTGCTGTTCTTCAACATTCCCCTCACCTTTTACCTCTGCTGGAGCCTTTACCACCGTTCCCACGGCAACACCCTGCGATCCCACTTGGTGCGGCCGGGCCGCCGCTGTCGGACTCTGGCGGTGCACCTCCTCATGCTGCTGCTGCTCGGCTGGCAGGCCCACTCCTGCTACTTCCTCCTGGAGACCTACGGCGCCACGGCCTTCTTCCTGTCTCCCGTCCGCACGTGGGCTCTGGCGCTCAGCTTGGTTTTGGTCTACCGTGCCTGGACAGGCCCCGCCCCTCTGTTTCGCGACAACAGCAAGAGCAACTCTTCCTCTTGACAGTAATTGCACTGTTGCACCCTGAGCCTGACTCGAAAGATATTTTTTGCAGTTTCTGGCCTAAATTCTTCCCCGTTATCCAACATCTCCCCTTTTCTTTCCATGGAGCATCACCGACCTATCCGGTTTCTAGTCAGTATCGTTTATTTAATATGCATGTTCTTGTGAAGCACCGACGAGCACATGGTGGCCATATTTATAGCAATGTGTACAGCATTGAATGGTGAACAGACCTTGGATGCGTAGAGGGTTTAGTGCATTGCCTTTAGAATGTATTAATTCAACATTTTGTCACCTTAAAACCACTGATGCATTTCATTGGGATTTTGTTGCATTTCAAGCACATACAGAGAAATCTTTGCCTTGTTCTCTTTATTTTGTCTTCATATTAACTCAGTCCCACCAGAGGGAGAACATTTCCTAAAATCAATATTTAACCATTGTCACAGAGGACATGTCTGCTTTAAACTGAACTGAGTGCAGCTTGGTTTTACTTCCAACCTTTCTGGAAAGGGAATCTCCTTCCCGATTTCAAATATTTTGAGTAGCATCCTCTAACAGGGTGGTTTCTTTTTTATTTATTTATTTTTTTGCTGTCTGGGATCTGATTTCAGTATTTTCCTGGATGGTATAAATATGAAAAACCAAAACAGGAATATAGAATAGTATTTATCGTCCCAGAATTTCTTCCCTTTGCCTTTGTCCCTCCTTGTTTCCTTCCTGTCCCCGTCTCCCTCCTTGTAGCCCTTCTTTTTACCCTTACCTTGCCTTTTTTTTCTTATTTGGGTCTTTCCTTGTGTCCTCCCTCTTTATATTCCTCCTTTCCTGTCTGCCTTTTTTCTTAACTCCCTACATTCCTCGTCTCTGTACAGGTTGGATTTTTCAAGCCTGCCTAGGGTACGGATATTTATGGTAAACTGAAGAGACCTTTTTTGCACTTAAAAGAAACTTAAGGCATTGCTGAATTCAATTCAATTCAGTTTATTTATATAGCGCCAAATTCACAACACATGTCATCTCAAGGCACTTTACAGTTCAACCAGATCATACAGTCAAATTGATACAGAGTTTTCTATCTAAGGAAAACCAGTTGATTGCATCGACTCATTGACTCAAATACAATCCCTCACACTAAGCATGCTTGTAGCGACAGTGGAGAGGAAAAACTCCCTTTGAACGGGAAGAAACCTCCAGCAGAACTGAAGGATTTCAGGGAAGCATTTAACTTTTATTATTGCTGAGTTTTGTTATGACAACACTGATTATTATCTAATCTCTGAGATTTTGTTCCTTTCCATCATGAAACCATCTTTACAAGTGCCAGAGCCTTTCAAAAGTAAAAAGAAAGGCGTTAAAAATATTGAACAATCATATTGAACAAAATGGTATCATTCTTACTACAAATGAGGATGGAGATTAGATATATTGTGCAGCTTTATTATTAGGATTGAGAACTCACACCCACAGCATGCTGCTGCCATCGCCGTGTTTAGCAGTAAGGATTTCAGTGCTGTCCGGCTGTCCTTGGTCTCCATGACGACGTTTGTGAGTTATGGTCCCTAACGAATCTGAAACCCTCGTATAAAATCCCAATGAAGTTCACCATGGTTGTAATGTGACCAAATTTGGAGAAGCGTAGGGGGTGTGAATACTTTTGCAAGGCATCGTCTGATTTTATGGGATGGATATTCCAGCCTATACTGTGGTTGAGTGTACTGTATTCTGCTGTGGTTTAAGCTGGCTCATTTACTTGAGGTTTAGCACTTTTTTGATATGTTGCCTTGGCCAAAATGCCACTTCACCACTGCCAAAGAATGAGTGGGAAAAAATTTCCTTTTTTTTAAATTAAATTTTTTTTTCTTCCCCCATTTCCCAGTTCTGTCGTCGGTTGAAGGCTGGAATCTCCAAATTGCTTCCTGTTTTTACTTTACAACACAAATCAGACAGAAAGTGACAATACAGCACCTTTTAAACAAACTGCTGTAAGTAAAGGGGGAGAAAAGCGACCTAGACTATCATATTCTTTGTTTGATCCAGACGAAAATATGACGATCAACTATTATGGTTGATCGCTGTTTACAACTTCAGCTGTTAATCGACTTAATTTCAATGCAATCAACTGCCAGTAGTGTTTTACTTGTGCTTTTATGCCAATGTCACTTTTCCAACACTCTGGTCCTTCAACTACATCAGGAAACCTTTTCTTTTTTTAAAACAATCCAGATGTGTGGTGGAATAGCAAAGAACCAGGATGAATGTGTTAACCTTGTGTGGAAATGGGCTGAACCACTATTTTAATGCTATTTTATTTATCCATTTTGATTGTATTGTATGATTTATCTTTTGAAGAAAATATTTTCCTTGTGTAATAAGTTTGCTCTGAAAAGAGGATATATTTCAGCCCGCACCTTAAACTGGGAAGCATTCCCTGTGTGAAAACCTGTTTGGTACATGTTGTTGAGGAATTGTGTGAAAGCACTAAAAAATCTTTTGTTGCACTGTCATTCGCACCTTCCTAGATGTGATTACTGATCTAGAAATGACACAAAAAAAGAACACCCAATGGTTTTATAAGAAGGCAAATCTTCAAACAGAGTTGCATCCTGTGATGTTTAATAATAGCCAACATGGCCCCTGAATAATGGTTCATTGATGGGATGAGACATGAAAACTGAAACAGCCGCCAGATGGTAAGAGAATCAAATTATGGGCGCTCTGCCAGGACTAGAAACATTTATCTTCTCTTTTTATTGTTTTAATGGAGCATTTTTCTCCAATAATGAATTTGTACCTTTCTAATAATACATCAGCTGTCCACTTGGTGGCATTGTTAGATGCATTTGGAGAACTTCTAACACATTCATTTCTTTTTCTATCTAAAAACAAATCACCAGGAAATATGTGAACTTCTCACTGCCTCAACTGTTTGGAGAAATGCTGGCATGCCCCCCCCCCCCCCCCCCCCCCACCTGATTGTATGACCTCCTCTGCATCCTTCCTTTGTGATCAAACACTGATGCTTGTGAATGAAAGCGTGGTCATTTTTACACCCGACACCTGTTTTTCTTGTGAAAACTGCATTTAAAACAAACTACAACTATATTTTATTATTGGTTTCTAGTGATGTGGAATAAAGAAAATGTGCGGTGTCTTTTGTCGTACGTTCAACAGTTTCATGTGGTGAAAACAGACCTTGTTAATATAAAGGCGCATCATTGATGGTTGAGAATGTGACGCTGGTTTAAATCCCATTGTGTTGTAACTAGGGTCGCCAACGCTGTGATTAAATAAGCGACACTTCTTGGCCTGCCGTTGTCTTCTACTCCGATATTACCGTAGGAGTTTATTTCTGCCTTTTCAAGTGTCTTAATTGATTCTTGTTAAAATTTAAATTGAACCTTAATTAGACACATTTTTTCCCCATTTTTTAAAGGACAATAGGAAACTCTAGTTGCAACTTTAAAGGTTTAAATAAAAAAGTGGTTTATATTGGTTTTAAAACACCCAGATATCTTTTTAAACCACAAAATGGGTGGTCCAGCCCCTTATGTACTCGACTTCCTGGGAAAGATGAACGCTTTCAGAAGAAATTAAACCTTCATTTTACCTTTATTAAAAAAAAACAAAAAACATTCTAGTGCAACTATTAGTTGAATCTTTCCCTAGTTCCAACAAATCATGACATCATCCTCTCTTTGACTCTTCCTCTTTGCACAATTTCTCTGCAGCTATATGATTTAGTCTCCACTGACCCATTTCTATAGATTTGCTAGTTAATTTGGAACGTTATTCTGTCAAAAGAATGATTGAGGGTTTTTTTTTTGGTGGCAAACATCAAAACATTCATCATACAGAAGATTTCCAGCCCCTATTGAAGAGAAATATGTTCACACCATTATTGATCAAACAGCTTACTTAACAGTGACCCCAAAGAGAAAAAATAAAAACGGTTCATTAACAGAGGTGTCAAAAGTATTACTGTTTATTACTCAAGTACAAATATAAACCCTACAGTTTAAAAACACTTTTGTAGAAGTTAGAGTATCAACTTAAGCTTTTTACTCAAGTAAAAGTACCATTTTTAAAACTACTTGTGCAGGAAAAAATGTTAAGGACAGATGCTTTACTGCACTAAACTATGAAAGGAACAATTTTCTACAATTCTGGACGATAATTTACTTATACTTCTTTTTTTTTGTTTGTTTTATGACTAATGTTAACTGTCAAATTTAACTTTGCATCATCTTGAAAAACGATTTATTTGGTATGTGGCAAACAAAACACAAAGAAATACATTTTCAGGATAAAGCAAATTATTTCGATGGTTTTTATTTTTTTAACAAAACTTAGGTTAAATGAAACAATGCTAAAGACTATTTTTAAAGTAGAGATAAGTGCAAAAAGTATAGAAAGCCAGTAAAGTGTTAACCTGACTCCGCCAGATGGATTTGCTCCGCATATCCATCTGGAAACCTTCTGTTGAAGTAATTTTGGGAAGGGGCGAAAATACTGGTTAGCTGATTGGCCTATGTTGGTGATAGACGGGCCAAATAAACCAATCAGAT